TGTATGCTTTTTTTTTTTTTTTTCTGCTTTTTCTCCCCAAATCCCGCCAGTACATAGTAGTATATTTTAGTTGTGGGTCCTACTAGTTGTGGCATGTGGGACACTGCCTCAGCATGGCCTGATGAGAGGTGCCATGTCCGCGCCAGGGTCCAAACTGGTGAAACCCTGGGCAGCCGAATACAAAAGTAAATATAATAGTATATGGAATCTCCATGAACCGATCATTTAGCTTTAACAATGTCAACTTATGGCCACTGACTCTCCTCCCTTATTATTTTGAAGAAATTCCCAGATGATAGGATTTTATCTGTAATTATTTCAGTATGATTCTCTAAAAGATAAAGATTTAAAACACAGTGCCATTATCAAAACTAAAAATTTTTTATAATCATCCCTTAATATCTAATATCCAGTGTATTCCAATTTTCAATTTGAATAAATGTCCCATAAATGCCAACTAAATTTTTTTTCAGTTTGTGTGAATTGGAATCCAAATAAGATCCATACATATAACTGATTTTCATAAAAGTGTTAATTTTTGAACCTTGGTGTCTTTCTCAGAGATGCTACATTCAGGTTTTTAGAAACAGAATAGGCTGTTAATACCTGAGCAGTGTCCTTTCATTAAGATATATTGATCTGGTAATATATATTGATCTGGTAATAGTGCTAATAGTAGCACTATTAAAACCTACCTCTGGGCTGGCCCGGTGGCACAGCAGTTAAGTTCACACGTTCCACTTCTCGGTGGCCCAGGGTTCGCTGGTGCAGATCCCAGGTGTGGACATGGCACTGCTTGGCAAGCCATGCTGTGGCAGGTGTCCCACATATAAAGTAGAGGAAGATGGGCACGGATGTTAGCTCAGGGCCAGTCTTCCTCAGCAAAAAGAGGAGGGCTGGCAGTAGTTAGCTCAGGGCTAATCTTCCTTAAAAAAATTAAATAAATAAAAATAAAAATAAAACCTACCTCTTCCATTATTAACTTATAATTGGTAAGGTCACCAAAGTTGCACACATATCCTTCCCAGCTCTTCCTCTGACAGTCTGACGGAGGATCTCAAACCTGGCTGAACATTAGAATCTGGGGATCTTTGTTTCCCCCCAGGTGTGGTAAAATACACATAAAATTTACCACATTAACCTTTTTTTTCCAATTATTTTATTGAGGTCATAATGATTTATAACATTGCGTAATTTCAGGTGTACATTATTATTGGTCAGTTTCTGTATAGACTGCATTGTGCTCACCATCAATAGTCTAATTTTTATCCGTCACTATATATATGTGTCCCTTTTGCCCACCCCTAGACCCCCTTCCCCTCTGGTAACCACTAATCTGTTCTCTTTATCCATGTGTTCATTTATCTTCTACATATAAGTGAAATCATATGGTGTTTGTTTCTCTGTCTGGCTTATTTTACTTAAGATAATACCCTCAAGCTCCATCCATGTTGTTGCAAATGGGATGATTTTGTCTTTTTTATGGCTGAGTAGTATTCCATTTTAAGTTATGCCACATCTTTTTTATCTACTCATCAGTTCATGGGCATTTGGGTTGCTTCCACATCTTGGTATTGTGAATAATGCTGCAGTGAACATAAGGGTGCGTAAATCTCTTTGAATTGTTGATTTCAAGTTCTCTGGATAAATATCCAGCTGTGGGATAGCTGGGTTATATGGTATTTCTATTCTTAATTTTTTGGGAAATCTCCATACTGTTTTCCATAGTGGCTGCACCACTTTGTATTCCCACCAGCAGTGTATGAGGGTTCCCTTTTCTCCACATCTCTCCAACATTTCTTATTTTTTGTCTTGGTAATTATGGCCATTCTAACAGGTATAAGGTGATATCTTAGTGTAGTTTTCATTTGCATTTTCCTAATAATTAGTCATGTTGAAAATCTTTTCATGCGCCTGTTTGCCATCTATATAGCTTCTTTGGAAAAATGTCTGTTCATATCCTCTGCCCATTTTTGATCAAGTTGTTTGTTTTTTTTGTTGTTGAGTTGTATGAGTTCTTTATATATTTTCAGAAATTAACCCCTTGTCAGATATATGATTTGCCGATATTTTCTCCCAGCTGGTGGGTTGTCTCTTCATTTTGTTCATGGTTTCCTTTGCCTTGCAGAAGCTCTTCAGTTTGATGTAGTCCCATTTGTTTATTTTCCTTTTGTTTCCCATGCCTGAGTAAACATGGTATTTGAAAAGATGCTTTTAAGACCGATGCCAACCATGCTAACCATTTTTAAGCATACAGTTCAGTCCCATTAAGTACAACATTCACATTGTTGTGCAACCATCAGCACCATCCATCTTCAGAACTCTTCTCATCCTGCAAAACTTAAACTCTGTGTAAACAGTAACTCCCATTTCCCCCTCCCCTCAGCCACTTGCAACCACCATTCCACTTTTTGTCTCTATGAATTTGACTACTCTAGGTACCTCATATAAGTGGAATCATATGGTACTTGTAGTTTTGTGCCTGGCTTATTTCACTTAATGTAATGTCCTTAGGGTTCATCCATGTTGTAGCATGTGTCAGAATTTCCTTCCTTTTTCAGGCTGGATATTGTTTCATTGTATGTATATGCCACATTTTGTTTATCCATTCATCCGTCAGTGGACACTTGGGTTGCTTTGATCCCTTGACTATTGTGAATAATGCTGCTATGAACATGGGTGTTCAAATATTTTTTTTGAGCCTCTGCTTTCAATTCTTTTGGATAGAATTGCTAGATCTTTTTTGAGGGCCTGCCATACTGTTTTCCATAGCAGCTGCACCATTTTACATTGCCACCAATGTGCATAAGGGCTTCAATTTCTCCATATCTTTACAAACATTTGTTATTTTCTTTCTTTCTTTCTTTCTCTCCCTCTCCCTCTCTCTCTTTTTATAGTAGCTATCCTGATGAGCATGAGGTGGTATCTCACTGTAGTTTCAATTTGCATTTCCCTAATGATTAATGATGTTAAGCATCTTTTCATGTGCTTGTTGGCCTCTTGTGTATGTTCTTTGGAGAAATGTCTATTCAAGTTCTTTGTTCATTTTTCAATTGGGTTGTTTGTATTATTGTTGTGAAGTTGTAGGAGTTCTTTATATATTCTGAATATTAATCCCTTATCATAGAATCTGGGGATCTTTTGTGATGAGACCTGTAAATCAGTATTTTTTAAAGCGCCTCAGGTTGAGAACTGTTTTCTTAGGAGATGAGGAAGTAAGTATGTTTAAGTTAGTTCTCATCAAGACAAATGGAAAATTCCTCATCTTGGAACAGTATTGAAATCTTCTACTTGGTTACGCTATGTGTTCATGAGTGCTGTCCAGTCATGGTAATTCTGCATTTCCCAGAGTCACTGGACTGACTCACAGTTTCCTGGGTCTGTGCTTTCCTCCTTGCACAGACAGAAACAAGTTCCTATTTATACCTTATAAACAGAGGAAAAGAAGAGACAAAATATCCATATATTAACACTCTCCTACTTATAAAAATCAGCAAAATATGTCTCATCACCTTTCTTAGATAATATAACTACCTTTTTGAAGCCTTTATATTAACTTTCTACTCTTGAGTAGCTTATGGACCCAGCCTTTCCCAGACATTTCACTTAAGCATAATGATTACTAAATATTTTACGGTGCTCCAACTGTTACAGCTTGGATAGTGGTAGTCCATTTAATTAGCATTTGTCCTTGTAACATTACCCCTGACGTCCTTGAAAATATCCTTGCTATCTAGCATCAATAGGATACTTGTAGATCCGTCCTGATTTTTCTTGTCTCCAGAAATGAAACAGCTACCCTCCAAGAACTCCTGGTTGTTTTAATGGTAAATAATATAAGACACCAGCACCTAGGCATTAGGGATATACATGACAATTAGTAGGAGGGCACTGGACCTCACTTGGTAGTGAGAGAGTTGGAAAACATTTCTTTAAGGTACAGTTTTATATTGATCTTTCTAATTTAATATATCACTGCTGTGCCCTGCTTTCCTAGGTCTGTGGATCCCCTGACCACAGGGACAATCCTTTGAGGCTGCCCTTACCATTATCCCCACCTTATAGCTGAAAAAATTGAGACTGCAAGAAATTACGTAACTTACCTAAAATCACACTGCAAGTAAGTGTAGAGCTGCCCAGCTCTGCTGAATTTATTTCAGAAACTGAGTTCCTATGGGTTTCCTTGCAAGGCCCCGCCCCAACCTCTGCCTGCTCTCAGAAACACAGAACGTTGTCGTTTGTAGACTTTCCACCAAGTTTCCCCTGTTACTGAAAGTTCAGTCTCTGATCGCGATGCCAATCCAAATAATGAGAACAGAGTCTTGGGGAAAAAAGGGAAAGGTTTTACTTTGCCAGGCAGAGGGAGCAAAGCAAAGGGCCAGTGCCCCAAAAGTTGTTTGCTCCCCATTAAGAAACAGGTAGGGGTTTTTATTTGGGGTTTTGGGTAGCAGAGGGGGGCTGTGGCCTTCTTGGTCAGCGTTTTCCCATCAGCCTGTTCCTGGGGCTGCTTCCAGCAGAGGAGACAAAGGATTTGTCAGATGAGTGTCCTTGGCTGTTTATCTCCATGATGGAGGTAGACTCTGACGTCAGGAAGCCACGGAGTTGGGCCTGGGAAGCTTCGGTTTCTTGATATTCTCCGGACATTAGTTTCTCTGTAAAAGAGCTTCAAGGTCCTGTGATTAGCCACAACTTTAGTGGGAGCCCAGCGTGAGGTTGTCTGGGCTTGAACAATTTGTAACTGCTATTTGGCTCTATAGCTCAGGCAGTCAGAGGTTAAAGAAACAAGCATTTACATATCAGTGTGCTAAAGAACCAGGAAACTGGAAATGAGCGCTTTTATTTTTAACCCATATGTGCTGGGTTCACTGTAGGGGAACCAATGTCAGGGCTGATGTTAACTAAGAGCCGGTAACACCCCGTTTAGGACTTCCAGCGCAGGGTCTTCCTAGTCTTGGGTGGGGTAAGGAGAAACTATCCAGATTCTTCTTTTCTCCCTGCAGGATTCGGGAGTGAGGATGACAAGGAGAGCCTTCCAGGAGAAAGGCCTGAAAACAGAGCCCCTCAGGAGGCTCCTTCCCAGGAGGGGCCTCCGGACAAATGCCCGGCCCAGTTCCGCCGTGCTGCCAGACGCCAGAGCTCCCGGGGGAGGAAGCAAGGCCCTGAGGGCACCCAGGACGATACCCCAGGGGAAGGGGAGGTGAGCTGGCTCCCCAGGCAAGGCGAGGCCCTTAGCCTCCGACGGCTGCCCCAAGATCCAGCCACCCACCTGTGCCCGGAGGCGGGAAAGAGCTTCCCAGCTCAACAGCCACCAAGGGACACATGGGGGGAGGGGGGCGACAAGCGGCCCTAGCTTGCCCTGAACCCAAGGTCACAGCACCCATCTTGCTCGTGCCCGGCTCTCGCACAGGGAGTCGGCCCACCGGCACCCCAAGTGTGGGAAGGCCTTCTGGCACAACTCAGACCCCACCCAGCACCTGAGGACGCATCGCAGCCAGAGGACCTGCCTGCGCCTGGGTGCGGGGTTGGTGCCTGGCCACCTCCTCCCGCACCCGCGCTCCCAGTGGCCCAGGTGTACGCGCGGTGCGCCGGCGCCTCCACCCCCGCAGCAGGGCAACACCTCACCGACCGCCCAGCTGCCCCCCGGCCTCCAGCCGCCGGCCACACCTGGAGAGGCCCCAGCACGCAGGAGACGCTGCGCGGCGCCGCCCTCCCCCCACCCGCTGCCTCCCACCTGCCCAGAAGGCCCACGGATGCCAGGACTGTGAATCGGTTACCTCGGTCGCCAGAGGACGTGAGGCAAGAGCTTCCACCAGGTGCCAACCTCGCGGTCCCCTGGGAACCACGTGGGCGAGGGGCCTTTCCGCCCAGGCACCCTCTCAACGCCTCCCGCCGCTGGGCCTGCATGGGACAGGGAAGGCGGCCTGGGCCAGCGGGTAGGGCCCAAGGCTTCTGGTGCAGCCCTGAGCCAGCCCAAGAAGACCTGGAAAATCCCCACCTGGAGAAGGCCAAGGGCGAATGAGCCCTCTGAGTGGTTCCAAGGGCTTTCACCAAGCTCTTACTTGCCGACTCCACTGCTGGGCCTTTCAAACTACGAAATAGTAACATCTCCCATTTATTGAGGGCTTACTCTGTGCCAGGCTTTGTGATTTATGGGAATTATCTCATTTAATCCTCAGAATATCCCTGTGATATTGGTGTTCTCATTATCAGCATTTTACAGATGGAGAAACTAAGTCTCAGAGAGGTTAAGGGACCTGCCCAAAGTCATACAGCCAGCATTCAGACCCAGGTCTGCGGGCCTGACTCCACAGCCCACCCTGCTGCACTGCTCCTCCTGCTGGTACACGAGTTAAGGGTACAGGTTTGACAGGGCATCCATTTATGGAGCATCCATTTTTCTTGTGGTAATTATACAAACACTTTTTATACTAAAGTGAGCAAATCCTCCCTGGAATTAACATTTGCACCACTGATTGAGATGAAACTTGAGATGTCATAGAAATTTCATGTTAAGGCCAGTGCTTCAGGCTCAGCCCATGGATCCCTGAAGTGACCTCTCCTCATACCTCTGCCTTTAGAGAGATGTTGGCAAAGGGTTCTCTGCTCCAGGACCAGCAGCTGTGTGGCGCCTTCCTGGAGACCAAGGAAGAGACCCCTGCGTTGCTTGCCATCCCACTGGGTGCCTTAGGAAGTTCATCCAGTTCCTCTGGGTTAAGGTTTCCAAATTCCCAACAGATAATTAATCTTCAGGATTTGGGACTGAAAAGTAGGAATTCTTAGCAGTTTCTGAAATCATGTTATTCTGTATTTTTCATAACTTTCTGTATTTTTTTTAATAAATAAGAAATACACATTAAGTAGTAATTACAAAAAATTGTAGGCTATAGCAAATATTCAAAAACCAGAAAATGCCAGAGAACATTTTGGGTAGTAGTCAGATGACAAAACATTTAAATCTTCAGCAAGATTAACTGCCCTACACAGAATCATGTGTTGAAATTGCCAATTTAAGCACTTGTTTCCAAAACTTATTTCTTAGAACATCATTCATAGGATTTGTATAAAATATATGATACATGTAAACAGATTAATGTTTATCTTATTTGTGAGAATGACTTACTGTTAACAACAGACAGGGCCACAAATACACTTTTAATATGGCAATAGCTACAAAAAAGACTGATTAGATTGTGACCACTTCTCTCCTATGTGCTCCTGTCTCAAGTTCTAGAAATGTCTACCTTAACCATGGACTCCATGTGTTGGCGTTTCCCTCTCTCGCTTTCTACTTGACGTCAGTGGATTCCTTAAAATCAGGAATGCCTCAATGTTTATTGTTAAGCATTAATTCTCACTGGAGAATTATAATACTTTTTCCTATTTTCCCAGTTTCTTGACTCATTGTTCTTGAGATTCAGAAAAAAATATCCCAAAAAATGTCAGGAAGGACTTCCCGCATAGAAATACTGTTCTGGCCTGAGCTGGATCGGCAAGGCACGTCTGCTGCAGAAATAATCACCAAGTATATCGTCAAGCCCAGTCACTGAAGCTTGATGGTTTCAGGGGCCTCAGAGCCAGAATATCCAGTTATGGAGCCTAGCTCTGCCAGTTTCTGGTTGTGAGACCTTGAGTAAGTCACTTTACCTCTCTGAGCTTCAATTTAATGGGTAGGATGATACCTAGGAAATAATATACTTGCTTTGTGAGCCATACTGTGGAAGGGTTTAAAGTATGGCTTTGGAGTGAGTCTGAGGTTTGAATCCATTACTTACTACCTCTTTGATTTGGGGCAAGTTCTAACTACTCTGAGCCCCATTTTTCTCTTCTGTAAAATGGGAAAACTGATTGAGCCCATTTCATAGGGTTTTGATGAGTTTAAATGAGATCACATGAAAATGCTTACTGCAGAGCATGGTACATTGTAAATGCTTGACAAATGTGGACCAGTGTCGTATTATCTGCTGTATCTACCTCACAGGGCAGTTGTGAGGATGGAAGGGAGATTATGTTATGGGAGTGCTTTCCAAGCTGTGAACTGGTATCCATGCACTTCTCGTTCCTTCAGAGATGGGATGGTCAGAAGATACTGGCAGACGTTAGTGGTATCTCCAAGTAAGGGGCCTGAGAATACTTATATCCATAGAAGGTACCTGTGTTGAGGAGGAGGTGTCACCATGGTTATCTGGAAAACAGGGTTTAGTTTCAATTAAGTAGGCAAACTCCAGCATCATCTGACTTGGGGTACATTTAGGGGACTGGGGAAAGCTGATTTTCAGCAGGAGCTTTTGGAGAAAGGGCAGTGTTAAACAGAACCTGCCCACTATAGGTTAGGTTTGTTTAATAGGGACTGAGGCAGGAGAAGGGGACATGTGATAGAAGATGATGGGGGGGCCTCTTTGACTCTTGTCTGAAGCCCTGTTATTGGCTGAACTTAGGAAACATTCCTATTAACCAGAACCAGTGCTTCCTGCTCCTGCTGTGCATGCACCTACAGTGCTCATTCATTTGTAGATTGTAGACCAAACATGGATCAAAGGGCTTTCCAAAGGTGATCTCATGTAATCTTGACAGCAACCTGGTAAAGTAGATACTAGCACTACTTCTGTTTTGCAAATAAGGGCCCAGAGTCTGGGAAAGTTAAGTCCGTTGCCCAACGTCACACAGCCTACATGTGGCAGAGTAAGGATTCTGACAGAGTCCGAGGCCTAATCCCCACCAGGCCACCTCAACGGACCAGGTGCCAGAGCTGAGCTTGAACAAGACAGAAAGAAACACAAATGTGTGAATTTTAGCACCTAAGTGGCCTCCTCTCTTGCCTTCTGTGACAACTCTCTCTCTCCTGGTATTACTCCTTTTCTGGACACTGTTTCTTTGCTTCCAGGGAAGTTTTTCTCTCCTTAGCCCTTATATCCGGGTCCTCTGAGCCCCATCCTTGAACTCTTTTCTCTTTCTTTTGCACAGATCTGTGAGGGATCTTCATGCCCACAACCTCAGCTGCTGTCATCTTTCATTCCAATCCAGACTGCCCCTCTGAGCACCACCATGATCCAGCCAACTGCCTCCTTGACATCCCTTCTCTGAGGTTCCAGGCTCCCAACTGAATTCATCCTCTCCCTTAGCATGCCTCTCCTCCCGAGTCTCCCTTCCTCCTTACCATGGCCTCTTAATTTCAAATACTGGCACAGCAGCTGGGAATCCAGAAGCCATCATAGATGAGGCCCTCGAGTCAGTTCTTGGGACAAGAGATGGACTGTAGGGCCTGTTCTCTGAGAGCTGCCAAGAGTTTGGGGGTGAACTTGGAGGGTGGAATTCATCATATAATCAGCTGTCTACTAAGCACCCAGCAGTGTGCCAGGTCCCATAGCAAGAGTGAAGGATACATTCTTCATAAGACAGGATCCCTGGCTTCAGGGAGCTTTCAGGCTACTAGAGACAATGGACATTAAGCAATCCTCCCAAAATACAAACTCTTACAAACAGTGTTAAGTAGTGTGAGGAAAAGTTCAGGGTACTATGAAAGAATATAATAGATCTATGTTAGGTTGGGGAATTTTGAGAAAGTGACAATTATTGTAACCCTGAGAACTGAGCCGGGGGAAGAGAATTCCATATAGAGGCAAGAATTGGTGCTTGCACAAAGGCCCAGAGGTGGGGAAGAGCTTGGTATGTTGGAAAAACTGAAAGGCAGCCCGTGTCAATGGAGCTGAGTGTGCTGGGGCGTGTGGTCAAGGTCAGACTTGACGAGCTGGCTGGGGACAGTGGCAGGTGCCTTGTGGGTAAGGAGTCTGGGTTTTTTGGTTAACTTTTTATTTGGAAATAACTTCAGAGTTACAGAAAAGTTGCAAGAATAGTACAAAGGACATCTGTACGTCCTTTACCCAAAATTCACCTGTTGAAATTACTTGCTTTATTTTGAACTATTTGAAAATAGGTTGAATACATCATGTTCCTTTACCCCGAAATACTTCTTACAGTGCGTATTTCCTACCACAGCACCGTACAGTTACCCACCTCACTACATCTGGCATTGATGCAATATGGTATCTAATTTACCACCCATTTTGTCAATTGCCTCAATAATATCCTGTATATAGCATTTTTCCCTCTAGTCCAGGATCCAGTCTAGAAATGATATATTGCACTAAGTTGTCATTTCTCTTTAGTCTCCTTTAATCTGGAATAGTTAGCCTTTCTTTGTCTTTTAGGACATCGACATTATGGAAGAGTGCAGTTTTCTCCTTTAATAGAATGTTCCTCATTTTGGGTTTGTCTGCTGTTTCTTCATTGTTAGATATGGGTTATGCATTCCAGGCTGGAAGACTGCGTAAGAGATATTGTGTCCTTCTCAGTGTGACAACAAGAGACACACAATGTCTGTCTGCTCTTCCTTGGTGATTTTGTTTAATTTCTCCAATCTATAGTTACTATTTTTCCCTTGTAACTGAGAAGCAATCAGGGAGATACATTACAACTACGCAGATACAGATGAGATTTAACATCTATTGATGATTCTTCTGAATGAAATCAATCTTTATCATGATAATTACAAAATGATGACTCTTAAACTGCAACACTTCCTCCGCTTGACATTCTTCTGCCCTTTTATTTGTATATTTATTAGTAGCGGGGACTCTTAGATTTCTATTATTTTCCAATAAGTTTATAGTTATTAACCTTAATTATTTTGGTGCTCAAATTGTCCCAGTGTTGGCCAGTGAGAACCCCTTAAAACTAGAAGCCTGGATGTTATCCCATCTTCAGCAGAGTGGCGTGATCAATTTGCATATAAGCCCACCCTGACTGCTGTGTGAAGATGCATTGGAGGGACACAGATGAGGAAGCAGAGAGACGCATTAGGAGGCTTTTGTGTAGTCCAGGTGGGGGTTGTGGCTTAGCCTAGGGCAGTGACATATAGGATGGAGGGAATGGATGCATGTTCTAGAAACTTTGGTGGTTGAATTGGCAGGACTTTGTGATGGAGTGAATGTGTGAGCGGCCAGATGGGGAGTAGTCAGGAATGACTGGGGTAGCTGGGTGGATGGTGACATTTACTGATATGGGGAAAACAAGCAGAGTGAGGGGGTGAGGTGGGATGGATGTTTGAGACAGCTGAGTTTGAGATGTCTTTGACATCCAAGTGAAGATGTCAAGTAGACAATTGGATACATTGTTCTGGAGCTGGCGAGAGAAGTCTAGACCAGAAGAAAAGTTAGGAGTTGCCACATATGGATGATTTTTGAATCCGTGGTCCTGGATGAAATGCTATAAGGGAAGAATGTGTAGTGAGGAGAGAGAGGGGCCAGCCTGGGAATCCTGAACGAGGTCACTGTTTGGGGGTGTGAGGGTGTGTGGCAGGAAATGGTAATGGAGGGGTCTGTGGGCGCCAGATCACATGGAGCCTGGAATGTCAGGCCAAATCCTGAGGACTGTGGGGAACCACTGAAGGGCTCTGAGTAGGGGAGTGAGTGACAGGGTATGATTTGAGTTTCAGAAAATTTGTTCTGACAGCCAAGTGAAGATGATTTGGAGGGTCACAGCAGTGACAATGCTATAGTTCTTTCTAAAGTAAATCTGCCTGCCTCTTGCCGCGGAGATTTCTCAGATGGATCCCTGTGCCTGGAATGCCCTCTCCTTGTTCATGTGGGCACAAAAAAAGATGATCAAAACATCTGCCTCAACTCCTTTTATCAGCCCCAGGCAATGTGACAGCAAACCCCCATCTCCCCGCCTCATTTTGCCTGGAGCTGCACAACTTGCTTCTGGGACCTTTTCTCAGCCTGGGGCAATGTAGGTAAGAGTGTGCATGGGCTGGTCCCTGAGGTTTGCAGGAGTCTGTTTGGGGAATGTGATCCTCTGCCCTGGCATGCTTTGAATTCAGTATTGTCTCTGTCACCAAGGCAACCGCCCATTCAAACCTGTATGTTGCCCCTCTCCACCCCACCCCCCACTCCCACACATGGAAGGGAAGATGGGTTGAGTCTGGATGAACATCCAGTGCATCCTCCACTTACCAGGGGTGGCACTGTGCAGGACACTTGCATTCCTGCCTAGAGGGTGCCAACAGCCCATTTGGAGACACAAATAACCAAAGGCAGAAATTTTAAGAAACCAGAGGGAGGAGCAGATGTCTGGAGCCCAGGAAAGACAAGATTATTTTTAGTTGGAGAAATCAGGGAGGGTTCCCTGGAGAAGGTGGCATTTGAACCAGGCCATGAGGGTAGAGAGGACTATTTTCAGTTTCACAAAAGAAATATTTGATTATTCAGTGGTGAGGAAATTTAAAAAATCAAAGCCCCACTTCCTTATATTTTATTGACATTGTCAACACAATCATTTATCGGTTGCATTATATCCCTTTAAGCAGATACTCTGTAGTCAGTCCTGTTATTGTTAAAAGAATTCATTCTAGGCCTCATGACATTGGCTTGGGGTCTGGGGCTGGGCGCTGGGGACAGAAGCCGCTCTGGGGACAAGATGCAACTCATAAATCATTGCTTGAGCCCATCCACTCATTCTTTCATTCAGCAAACATTTACTAAAGACCCACCACAGCCCAGGCCCTGAGGATACATTGATGTTCAGGACATGGTTTCTGTCCTGAAGACCTTGAGTCTAATAGAGGAGCCACAAGTGGGAAGAATTTGTTGTAGAACACGTGTAGATGCCTCACCAGAGGCACAGTGTGTACGAGATGTGGCGCTGACATGGAGAAGGGAGCTGCAAGGAACTGAAGCCTCAGGAGTAGATGGGGATACCAGGCGGAGCGTGAGCTGTGAGAAGCGGGGAGACTGAGGACACACGTCAGAGGACCAAGTCCACGTGGAGCACGGCAGCGTCCTTCTCTGGCCACAGTCTGGAAGGCACATCTCTCTTACCCTTAGGCTTCTGGGTGTTTGTTTGTTTGTTCTGTTTTCTATTTCAAATATTTCCTTTCTCCCATTTTGGGAGGACTGTTTTTATACTCTTTTCCAAAATGTCAACTTGCGTACTTAATTCATTTGCTTTATTTTCTCTTTTTGACGCTAAAAGCATTTCATTTAATACTGTTAATTTTACCTCTACAGATACCTTTGACTGTATCCTATTTTTTAAAAATTATTTTCTAAATAGTTTTAATAGTTTTTCTTCTTGATTTGCTTCTTGTCCTAAGGGTATTTTGAGATACTATTCATGTTTTTCAATTTCTAAGTGCTGTGTTTTATATTATTGTTAGTTATACTGCATTTTTAAATTAATAAAAAAAAATTTTTTTTTTGAGGAAGATTAGCCCTCAGCTAACATCTGCTGCCAATCCTCCTCTTTTTGCTGAGGAAGATTGGCCCTGAGCTAACATCCGTGCCCATCTTCCTCTATTTTATGTGGGACACCTGCCACGGCATGGCTTGATGAGCGGTGCCATGTCCGCAGCCAGGATCCGAACTGGTGAACCCCAGGCTGCTGAAGTGGAATGTGCGAACTTAACTGCTGCACCACTGGGCCAGCCCCAGTTGTACTGTGTTTTGATCAAAGACTGGCTTCTAGAATTTCTACTTTTCAAAATTTACCAAAATATTCTCTGTAGCTTAATATTTATTGCATTTTGTCACTGTCCATGAAACTTGAAAAAGATTTGTTTTCAGGGTAGAAAATTTATATATTCATATCCTCTACATCCTTATTTATTTTTTGATTACTTGTTCAGAAAATGTGTTAGAATACTTCCGATAAAACTGTTTCTCATGTTTCTCCTTGTGTTACTAAATATTTTGTTTCATGGATCTTTGTTGTTATTTAACACATAAGAAATTAGACCCCTTCACTGTTTTGTTTTTTTTAAAGATTGGCACCTAGCTAACCTCTGTTGCCAATCTTCTTTTTTTTTTTTCCTTCTTCTTCTCCCCAAAGGCCCCCAGTACATAGTTGTATATTCTAGTTGTGAATGTCTCTGGTTGTGCTATGTGGGACGCCGCCTCAGCATGGCCTGATGAGCCGTGCCATGTCCGTGCCCAGGATCCGAACTGGCGAAACCCTGGGCCGCTGAAGCAGAGCGTGCAAACTTAACCACTCGGCCATGAGATCGGCACTCCCTTCACTGTTAATTACACCTTTTAGAGTGAGGTTAAGAGGTCACTTTCTGGAGTCAAGACAGCCTGGATTCAAGCCCCAGCTCCAGCATTTGTTAGCTTAGATTCCATACCTATAAAATGGAGATGATAGTATCTCCTTTGTACAGTTGTTGCGTTAAATGAGATAATGAACGTACAGCATTTAGAATGCTGCTCGGCACATGGCAAGTGCTTAATAAAGCTAGAATTAGCTCTTATGATCATTGTTACATTGCCCAGCTAACCGTTACTGGCATTGGAAGCCTCGGTTCTAGAGGGAGAAAGGTCTTTAGGAACCTCTATTTCTTCTCTATCCAGGACACATTTGGTAAACAGAGTGCTTCACGTAGAACATTAGAAGTCATTGTGAAAACCAAGAAGGAAAAAAACTGACAGCTTCCCAGCATGCAAACACACAGTGACACACTTTAGTTTTGATGGTGGGATCATTGGGTCAGCCCATGCATCGGCATGTGAGTATTAGCGGCATGTTCCAACTCTGCACTGGGAGAGAGGGGGCAGGCGGGATGGGAAGGAGAGGGAGAAGCTCAAGCTTTCCCCAGATGTTGGATCAAACACTGTGCCCCATCTCATCCCTAGATCGTGAGATCCCTTTTACCAGTGCTGTAAGCCCGATTCTGTGTGTCTTCCTGCCAATAGCTCACACACACAGCCTTCTGAGGCTTTCCCTTGGACACTGGGGCCCTTTTCCTATGGGAACTTTTGTGTCCCCATGCCCTCCCTCCTCCAGAGGAGCCAGTGGTTGATGTATAAGTACAAAAGTCCAGCTCCTTCGCCCCAAGTAGGACAAACTCTAAGTTGCTATTTATACTCCAGAGCTACTCATATACTTGCTAAGCTTCTTTGCACACTTGCTG